ATAGAAGTAATGGATATAATAAGAGTCTTTGCATACTGGACTATCTCTTATTTATTTGGAATAATCTCAACTTGCACCTTCAAATATCATTTGAATCTCAATTTACACTTTTAAAGTTTAAAAATATTAATTTACACTTTGAAAGATATACATGCGGATCAATATGCACCTGAGATTAACTAGCATCTATTTTGCCGTTAAAAAGTGTGGATTAATTATAAATTACACCTCTTAAAATTTAAATATTTTACATTTATGATTCAAAAAGAATTTCATCAATTAATATTCATTAAATAACTCTTAATTGTATACTATCATAACATTTTTGTACCATATTTGAGTCAATAAAAAATATTTTTAACAAAAGTTAATTGAGTTGTGTCTTATATTTCACACTTATAACAATTTATATAATATTATTTAAAATTTTTAAAAATTAAAAATACCTATTTTTTGTCTGTAATACTTGTTAAATAATTATATTTTGTCTACAATTGTATTATTCGTATTTAATTTTAATTTAATCGGACAATCAAAAGATTTGTGTCTAACTATAGATATAAAATAATTATTTAACAACTATTGAAGGCAAAAAATAGATATTTTATAATTTTTTTAAAATTTAAATTTTTTTTATTGATTTGAATACGGCACGAAGATGTTATGATACGATATAATTGAGAGTTATTTAACGAGCATTAATGTATGGATTCTTTATGGATCATAAATATAAAATATTTAAACTTGGATGATATAATTTTTTTTAACGAAAAAATGGACAAAGTTAGCTTTAGGTGCACATTGATACAAATTTATATCTTTTAAGATGTAAATTGATATTTTAAAACTTTGAGAATATAAATTACAATTTAAGTGATCTTTCGAGGTACAAGTTGAGATTAGTCTTATTTATTTTGCCCCTATAAATATATTGGGCAGAGGAAAAAATGACTAATATTCACAATATATCCAGTTAAACCTGTTTGATTGATTTGATCATGCATGTACGTACATAATATATGGCACCAATAGGAAGAGTCATTATTTCACCTAATAAGCAAGCTCTGACGTGCGACTTAGTATTATACTCAAGACTCAGCATAATCTGCATATAATTATGTTAAATAATAAAGTCAAAACAAAAAACGTCTATTGTATTGTGTGTGTGTGTGTGAGAGAGAGAGAGAGAGACAGAGAAGCAGAGAGATTCATCAATCATAAGAAACAAAAAGTATCATCCACTAACCCACAATGTTTTTCCAAAAATATAGAGCCGTAGATGCCATTTGATTCCATTGAGCATGCCTTGTCATTGTGCGAGGGAAGACAAGTAGACTAGAAAGTCAACAACTGCTCTAGCTCTATATAAACAAACAAATGGAAATAACATTAATCCCCACAAGCTGCCATTGCCATTGACTTCGAAGCGACATTTCGTGTTTTTGGCTCTTGGGTTTGCACAATCCCTCCACGAAAATGGTAATCTCTTGGTCAGAAATCAGGTGGTCTCAAGACTGTTGGAGGAAGGTGGAGGCATTGACATTTTATACGTACAGAAGAGAAATCTGACCCAACTTAATCATGAGTCCACCTTTCTGCATTGCTCTCAAGATCACCACTATATTCTCTCTCTCTCTCTCTCTCCAAGACCAAGCACAACTTTTCTTGGCTAATTAGGTTCTTTCTTGTGTCCAGGGCATTTGCAGAGATGCTAAAAACCAACCTAAACAACAAGTGAAGCTGGGAGGAACAAGAGCAGCTCTATTTGTCTATGGTATAAGAAGTTTCTATTAATTACCCAGTCCTCTGTTAAGACTTTTGTTTTGCACACATTGACGAATTGGGTCTTAATTAATGTAAGTTACTGACCAATTTGAGTGGTTGCTGTTGTTGATGGATGCAGCAACCGCGGGGCTTGAGAACATGGCGTTTATCTCCAATGCCGTGAGCCTTGTAACTTACTTCTACGGCTACATGAATTTCAGCTTGGCAAAATCGGCCACCACGCTAACCAACTTCATGGGGACTGCTTTTCTGCTATCGTTATTTGGAGGATTCATCTGCGACACCTACTTGTCCAGATTCAAGACTTGTGTTCTGTTTGGATCCATAGAAATACTGGTATGTTAAGTTCCATTCTGGCCTCCCTCTGAGAAACAAGTAGCTATATATGCATGAGCTAAGCTTAATTTAAACTCTTGCAGCCTAAGAACCTCAAATACATATAAATAGAACAAATGAAAAGCAAACAAAAGAGTACAAGCAAATTACTTATGGTGATTAGATTACCCTCTAGAAAAAAGATGAAGTAAGCTTTTCTTATCTTCAGAAAATGGGTGTTTGCGATCTGAAAAATCAATCGTTAATATATTCATGTATATAATTGGGTATTTGGTCAAAGTGTTACAAATGATCCGGAGACAGCCGGTGCAGGTGGTCTGAACTATGTTGAAAAAGTTAAATAACTTTGGCTCATAGAACTAGTATCGATAATCACGTATATAATATGAACTATACCATGTGAGAAATCATGCTACAGCAATGTTAATCATATGCAGGACAGGTTTTTTAAAGTGTACCATGTAGCTGGCTACTTTTTTTCCAGGTTATTTAACTAAGTTCACATGATACATGATAGCTTGGCCATATACTAATTGGAAAGGAAAAGAATTCCGAATTACCCATATTTTAGAGCAAGTACAAAGGCACAAAACAGAAACACAAATTTTGAAAACGTTTTGTCATCACAGATCAATCATCAATGTTTTCGAATCAAATAAATTTAAATTAACTCTTTTTGGTGCTGAATAAACAGTAATTTTCAAGGCAAAACACCAAAATAAACAACAATTCACTGCATAGAAAACTTACAGGTCTATCAGTTTGGTTGACACTGTATATCGATGAGTTTTCAGGGATACGCCCTCCTAACAGTACAAGCACACTTCCATCAACTGAGACCCTTTCCCTGCAAGGATGTTCCACCAAGCAAAATGAATCAATGTGAGGCTGCAACCAGCGGCCAGACCGCAATCCTTTTCACCAGTCTGTATCTGGTTGCACTCGGGACTAGTGGGATTAAGGCGGCTCTACCATCCCTGGGAGCTGATCAATTCGACGAGAAGGACCCCAAGGAGGCAGCTTCGCTTTCAAGCTTCTTTAACTGGTTGTTGTTTTCTATCACAATCGGAGCTATGCTTGGTGTGACATTCCTAGTTTGGATAAGTACCAACCAGGGATGGGATTGGAGCTTTGGTGTGTCCACCATAGCTGTCCTGGCGGGTATATTGTTCCTCACCATGGGAAGATCAATTTATCGGAATAATAAGCCCAAGGGAAGCCCTATTATCCGCATTATACAGGTGTACATGGTTAAACAAGTCTATACATGATCTGTGGCTCGTATTGATCTAAAAGTTGGTGCAAGTTGCATAGAAAGAATTGTTTTACAGATTAATCCTCCGGGTTTCAGGTATTTGTGGCTGCCATCAGAAACCGAAAGCTTCCAATACCAGCGATGGCAGAAAATTGCATGAGACACGTGATAAAGAAGCTGGAATAGGAGCTGAAATTCTTCAAAGAACGGCTCAATTCAAGTATTTCGTTCAACTTCTAGATTCAAATATTTGAATGCGTACAGTAGCTAAAAACAAGTGTGATTCACTAATTAAATTAACCCACCAACCTTTTGACAGATTTTTCGATCGGGCAGCGATTGTTGTTCATGATGCATCCACGCCCAGTATGCCTGGACCCTGGAGGATGTGCACAGTGACACAAGTTGAAGAAACTAAAATTATAGTTCGCATGCTCCCAATTATACTAAGCACTATCCTCATGAACACATGTTTGGCTCAACTCCAAACTTTTACCATCCAACAAAGCAGTACCATGGACAGAAGCCTTCTTGGCTTTCAAGTGCCTGGAGCCTCAATTCCAGTAATCCCCCTAGCATTCATGTTTGTTTCAATCCCATTGTACGACAGAGTGTTCGTTCCTCTAGCCAGGAAGTTCACAGGGATTCCAACTGGGATTCGATACCTCCAACGGATTGGAGTGGGGTTGGTGCTCTCGGCCATTTCTATGGCAGTGGCTGGGATCATAGAAACCCGTCGGAAAAACGTGGCTGAAAAGCACAACATGGTTGATTCCGCGGATCCTTTGCCAATAAGTGTGTTCTGGCTAGGGTTTCAGTATGCTATATTCGGAATAGCTGACATGTTTACATTGGTGGGACTGCTAGAGTTCTTCTACTCAGAAAGCTCATTAGGCATGAAGTCCCTGAGCACAGCAATCTCTTGGTGTTCATTGGCATTTGGGTACTTCACAAGCTCAGTTATGGTGGAGGTGGTGAACAAGGCCAGTGGTGGGTGGTTGGCAAATAATAATCTGAACAGAGATGAGCTGAACTACTTCTACTGGTTATTGTCAGGGTTGAGCATAGTCAATTTTGGGTTTTATTTGGTATGTTCATCTTGGTATAGATACAAGAAGGAAGAGCAGGTAGATTCTAATAGCGGCGGTGAAGCTAAGATAAAAATTGAAATGGGTAGCGGTTAGGTATTTTACGTCTTATTTGCACCGTCCTAAAACTAGCTCACCATGTACCCTTCAATTAAAGAAATTTTGCATCTAAGCAACTCTGCCGGGTGTTGGATAAAGATCAAGGATCAGTGTTTTTCTCCATTTGGAACGAGATTTTAACAAACGGAACCTTCATTTAGAAAATCATAGCAATCAAATTGAGAAAGTGTTGTACACTGCTAATGGAAAGGAAAATATACCGTTTAACTCGTCAAGATAGCTTAGAACAATGTTCAATCTGGCATCACATTTATTAAAAAGAAATGGTAATCTTTTTCTTTTTCATAACTGAATGATTATACTGTTTACAAATCACAAGTATACATTACACTAACCATACAAGAGGTAGGAAAGAGTACAGTCATAGCACATTGTGTGATAAGTGAACCTCCCAACAGAAGCCCCTGTTATTTCCCCTACCATTTCACATCTAGCGTCAGAGCCTCTGGAGGAACAAGTATTGGTGGGATATTGGTAAAGGAAACATTGGACATCAAATTACTCCAAGCCGATGACTCCACAACAGTGAAAGGTTTCATCTTCTTAACGACGAAGGGCTTTAACCTTTCTGCTTCGATTCTTGCCACTACTTCAAACCATGCACTTTCAACAATTGGCCTTGTTCTCCACTCAGCCACTGTAGACCAGAAAGTGTCATTGCTCCTGATATCCCTTTCTATTTCCAATTGGAAGCTAAAAATGGTGGATGCTTTTATTTTTGCATTCACAAAACCCAAAATTGCATTCTGATTGGTTCTGTTAAGTTTTAGACTCCGGAAAATTTTTCCAAGTAATGCTATCCTCAAGCCTAAGGAATCGATGGGGCAGCCTCGCTGCTTGTACATATGTCTAATGTAACACTTCGCTGGCAGCAACTCAATTGTCTCCCTGGAAAGGAAAGCAGTTTCAACATAGGTATCAGGGTTTTGAGTTTTGTAGGCAACCACTGATGCAGAGCCTAGAACACGTAGAGGAAGTAACCGCATACATAATGAATGCAAAAATGACCCAAAATTATTTCTCGCCCTATCAACTAAAGTACTTCCATTCACTTGTTGCTGAAGATCAGATGCGTGATACAGAGACATTTCCTGAGCACCTCTCACTTCTAAAGTAATGCCTTCACCAACCAGGATCCGTTTCAGACCAGTATGGGTAGTATTCAGCTGATAAAAAATGGCCAAAAAGTGTGTAAAGTTAGTAGGAGCAACATAGAAACACTCCGGGATAATTAGATGTGTTTTAGCTTAATGATTCCCAAAGCAACATATTAGAATGCAACCAAACATGAAGTTCTATCCACACAGAAACACCAAGGCTTCTTATTTGATGAAAAGGCATATCACTTACAGAGAAAGGCAGGAAATTGAAGGAGAATGTTTTCAATGATCTATAATCATCATTTAGATCCTCTTACAAGACATAGACAAGAACAAGAATTCATAATAACATACATCTTTAGTTGCAGGGTGGCAAAGCTGGAAGGAAAACAACATCCAAACTGCATACCATTTGTATGAATGATGGTCAAAAGATATCATATTTAATACATAGAAGCAACCTTGGGGACATATGAACAAGAAAATGAATTTGACTAGATGCACCAGGTGAACAGCAATATTCACTTTTGCAAACCTTAGCAACATCAAAGCATCTAGTCCTTCAGAGTTTCAGAAAAATTGGTTTCCTCATATGACAAAGGCACCACAATACAGAGTCAGGAATTAAGTGCAAACATTACAGCACTTATAACATGATAACATTCCAAATGTAGTGCGACTATACACCCATGCAATCTTTTTAATGGATGTTTATGAAGAATCAATCAAGCATTAATGATAGGACAATCTGAAGGATGCTTGTCAAACATCAGATCTTCATAAGAACTTCTGAATATATCTAGATGGCCATGAGGGCCAAATCTTGGTACTTTATTTAGATCAAAACATAAGGAAATGTATCAAAGATTAGCACGAAATGAGTCTTTTGTTTCAATTAGTCATTTCACTTGTTTCCAAGCCTGAACGCTGAAGCCATAAGCATTGCACCCTTCCCACTGGCATGCAAAATATGCTTATATCTCCAATCAATCAAGCTGAATACTTCAGCTGAATTGGAATCCAAGTTGTTCCAACACAAGGGGCTCAGAATCCACAACTAGTATGCCTTAGTTTCTCCTTTGTATTTCACGCATGTTACTTGAAGGCTATACAAAGATTAGTCAGAACTATGTATTCTTGAGGCAATGTTAATGCCTATTATAGAGTGCATCAATATGTTCATTGCAAACTAGATGTCAAAGTAATGAATGAAGCCGGAAAATCGAGAGGGCATGCAGTGCACAATTGACATTAATAGGATTCAATTAGCACCTTAAATTCTCTGTTTGTTACTTCACAAACCAGAACACTCTCACACCACCACTCCGGCAATATACCCAAATCCAACTACAGCTGATGCAGTAAGATAAAAACATGAAAAAGAAAATAAGATCAAATAGCACACATTCCCACAACTAGATACGGTAGACTTCAATACAACTGGGATGAACAAGAACTTCTAAAAAAACCCATTAAAAAAAAATCACAGCTTCCGAAAAATCAAAACAGAGCAATCAAATCCATTCAATTAACGTTTGCTTTTCTCAGTAGCCAAAACACATCACACTCTATAAGAACAAAGACAAAAGCATACCGGCAACATCAGCGAGAGTTCATCATCTCCACCAACGCGTAATTCAAAAGGCCCTTGCACTCGAAACGCATCGAGCACTGCCTTGGAACCAACTTCCTTAACCAAAGACTCAAAATCACCTCTCCCCGTCTTAAACTTCTTCCACACAGACTCTTCGTCCAACAATTTGAAAACCAACTTGCCCTTCCCAAATCGAATCCGAATCTCATACCTCTGCAAAGTCCCATACTTGGCCTTCCTCACATCCAATTTCGAAACCCTAATGTCCTCCAGATTCCACTTTTGCCACTCCGAAATCACATCCAACACATCCTAAAAACACAATTAAACAACAAATTAACCTATAATCGAGACTTAAATAATACGATTTTACAGTAATAAATCACACCTTTAAGAAGAGAGAGGGTTCGGGGCGAAGTTCTTCACCGATCTTCGGGTAGCTGAAGTGAGAAATATTGAAAAGTGGAGTAGAGATTGCGAGAGTTAATGCTAGGGTTTGGAGAAGTAAGACTTGAAGGAGAGAGAGAACCAAAGGTTTGAGCATCGTTTAGGGTAGAGTTTGGGTAATCTCTCGTCAACGGACGTCGACGACGACGATTACTACTGTACGCCGAACAGAGAATAAAATTGATCTGATCTGCTTTAAGTTGAAATGACGATTATAGGCACTACTGAATGAACCAATAGAGCGTCCTAAAGAGGTCATCTGAACCGTGGGAATAAGATCATCGCCTTTCAATCGACGTTTCTCATCTGATCTAGTGGAATAAAAAAGTGATCGTGTGCTAAAGTGCTCGAGTTTAAAAAGGTTACGTTTTATCACAGAGCAGATTTCATCGTCAATTTTCCTTTCTTTCTTTTGTCAATAAAATCCTGGTCGGTCACCTTTTTTTAGGCGGGCTCGATAAGTGAAAATCATAAAAATAAAATAAAAAAATTTTGCACCTCAGATCATGAGTGGTGGGTCTATTCTTGCACCGTAAATTTGTTTTTTCATCCCATTTAATTATTTTATTTCAAATTATTAAATTCATTCCATTTATAATCATTCAATTAATTATTAAGTTCACATCATTTATACTCATTTAATTAAATTATTAAATATATATTAAAGAAATCAAAAAAAACAAATAATTAAAATAAAATTTTAATATTTTGAGGTGATCTATATTATTTCAAGATATTTTCATATATTTTCACGATGTCTTTGGAGTATTTTAAGATATTTTTGGTATATTTTGACTAATATATTAAAAATAATTATTAATTTTTATTTGTTTCTAAAATATTTTTTTGTACCGAAATTAGAGTTGTTAAACGAGACAACTTTGAACATTTTTTTAAGCTCGTTTATGTGTAAATAATCGAAGATTTAAGCTCAAATTCAGTTCGATTATCACCCCTAATTGAAATAATGCACCAAAACAAAATTTTGATCATTGTGTCTATATAGTAAATTGAAATAAGATTGAATGAATTTAATTTTTAATTAGTGAATATAGACGGGTGTAAATTGATGGGAATTAGACTTTAGAATAGTCAAGTGATTGATATATGTACACATTATGTATTTGAGAGTGCTCTGGTAAGAGAGATTCTGCTCAAACTCTGTCTTGGTTACGATTCCCATGAAGGGGATATGATGACGTGGTGTCGGGGTTATGCGACAATCACGAGTACCTACATGGATTGATAGTTGATTAACGGGTTGAAAAAGACTACCGAATTTGGAGCATCACAGTTTGATATCAGAGTCTAAATTTTCGATTTACCTAGGGCTTGTAGGGCATGAGTCTAAGACATTGCATCCATTATATATTATATGTTGTGTGCATTAAATACTAAATGTTATGTACTATATGAATTATAGACATGATTA